GTGGAGGTAGTTTTCCCATTGGGTTGGGGAGATTGAATAAAGTATGTGTGTTAGTCAGCTTTTTAGCACTGTGACAGCATAACTGGGAGAAAAAAAAACCCTACAGGAAGAAAGGTTTATTTGGGCTTATGATTTTAGTCGGTTGCATTTAGACCTGTGTTGAGGCAGAAACATTGTGGTCGAGGGCAAGGTGGAGGAGAGCTGTTCATCTCGTGGTGACTAGGAAGCAGAGGGGTAAGAGCCAGACAGAGTGGAAGGGCTAGGGACAAGATACACCCACCAAGGGCACACCCCTGGCACCTGTTCCTCCACTGGGCCCTGCCTCCTCATAGCCTGACCAGCTGTGAGCTCATCCATGGACTGATGAGGTTATCAGACTTGTGATTCAGTAACGTCCTAGGCCCATCTCTGGGGATAAATCCCCAGTGAGTTTTGGGAACACTTCCTATTTAAACCATAGCAGTATGTAAGGGCAGGCAGCATGGTACTAAGTGAATGGTAAGGCGTTACCTATCCAGCAGCCTTGTCCGTAGTTCATCTTCCTTGTTCCTTTATTGAGGAATCAGTTCTTTTCATCCACTTTCCCTTCATTTCAGAGCACTCTCAACTGGTTTTAGTGTGGTATTTTGTTGTTTGAGTTGAAAACAGGTGTATGTCTTCTAATTCTAATGTACAGAGTAGTTGAGTGGTCCATCCCCATTTCTGTCAGTATGGTAGAAGATTGCTGCAGTGACAGTGGGGAGCCCTTGTCTCCTCCCTTCAGATACCTCCAGTACCTTGGGCAGTGCCATCAACTCCTTTGGGGCTTGGGTTCTTAGGTGTAAGTGCAAGGGTTCGAATTAACTTAATTCAGTGTATCTCTTAACTGCATTGATGAGAAGACTAAAAATCAAGTCTCTCACTGAATTACACCTGCAATGAAGGCGGGACCTTGTCTGTTTTGCTTACCATCATATTCCCAGCACCTTCAGATCACTTGGCCATAGAAGATAATTTAGTTCAGAGGGCAAATGGGAGGCCCTGGGTTTGTTCCTCAGGAATGAAAAAATTTTAAAAACACAGAATATTCAGAGAAGTGGGAGGAGGGAGAGGAGGAAGAGGGGAAGAAAAAGAAAAAATAAATCTTTTTTTGTGTGTGTGGTACAGGGGATTGAACTTGGGAACTTGCGCTTGCGAGGCAGGAGGCAGAACCACTGAGCTAAATCCCCGGCCCTCAAAAAAATAAATCTTTATGGCAAAAAAAGGTAGTCTGTAATAATCTTGAACTCTTATCAGGGCCCCATTGACCCGCATTGTGGGCCCATCTTCTGTAACTCTGAGCTGAAATGCAAAGATTCTAATTATAGTTGTTGATCAGCCCATAGTCAACATTTTTAGCATTTCTTTTCAAACTTCCTCAAGAGTTCCTGATCCCTTTTCAATTCCAGTTCATTGCTGTCTCTTCCATTCCTAGGCCTCCATCCTCCATGGTTCGGTGAGTCGGCTGTGCAGAGGTTCTCTATTTTTGAAAGCGCGGGGTATAATTATGCAGCATCATAGCACCATCTGCAAGGTGCTGTGCCATTTTCTTTATTTCTAAGGGAGCATCGCATACCTCACTTTACAAATGAGGAAACAGACTGAAAGCCAGGAGCCATCCTGGGGCTTCTGAGTGCCTCCTTTAGATACACCACTATCCCTGGCTGACAACCCAGCACCGTGAGGTCCCTCCCATGAGGTCCCTCTAGCACCGCAAAACTTGGGGGTGCTGAGCTTCTTCCTCACGGTGCTTAGGGGCCCTGTAGTGGCTCTCGGTGTAGATCAGTGAAACTTTTCCATTCTTGTTCCTGCCATGTTCCATATCTTCTCTCTCTTTGAAATGGTTGATTCTTGGGAAGAATACTGTTTATGACTAACACTGTGCCTAGACTTACAGGGTGGATTGTGGTCTCTGGCTTCGAGGTTAACAACCAGTTGGAAATTCAATGCACTCATTCGCTCATCCAGTGCTTCTTGAACACCCCCTTTATGACAGTGAGCACAAGGTTCACATCTGAGCGGATACTATATGACTGACAGCCCAGGTTGTGTGATACACGCCAAGAGTTCGCTCTAAATTTGAATAAATCAAGATACCAGAATTTGCTGGCAGTTCAGATTCCATTTTGAAATGGTTATGTGCTGCTTCTGAAATCATTGTAAAATTTTTCTTTCTGGGCAGGGTGGTTTGTACTCTAGTGTTAAGCAGAACTGGCAACTTGTATAATAATAATGTGAAAATGTCAAAACATTTCTAAAACCGGAAATTATAAAATTGAATAATACCGTAATCATTTACTTTCTAGACTGAGGTAACGCAGTGATTATAATGATTATCTTTAGATAAAGTAAGCAATTCGACTTTTCAAGGGCATATAGCTTTTGTTTATATTGGGGCATCATTACGTTCCCTTATTATTTTGCTCAAACTTTTATGGCAGAAAACTGGTGAACAGAAAGCCAGTGACTGACCAAGAGCCATGCTGAGAATATTCCCTGTGTTGGAGGAATGGCTTTCTCTGAATAATCTGACTTGCCCTTCTTGTTTCTTAACATTCAAACAAGTGTCGCTACTTTCCATGTCTGCATATCTGAAAACATTTGATAATAATTGAATGTTGGCTGCCATGATGTCACCATTGAGAAAAAAATCATGAGGGACTCTAATATTAGACTTCTAAATATAATCTGCTAGTTCTCCACTTATTTCATGTATTCTGGAAAAGCAGTTGGCATTATGTAAGAAAGGAATTATGAAAACCAGGCCTTTCCACTCAGTCCCTGGCAGGAGCTGGCTCTGCTAGGCCTGTCATCAGTGACAGAGTTTGCCTGCCTTATGTGTTCATAATGACCCCAGAACCTGGGGTTTAGGACACACTGGAGAAACCAGTTCACTGGGCAGAGTTTTCAGCCTTATCAGATGGAAAAGGGACAATTGTGTACCCATTTCTCCTTAGTATGACCACTAAAAATTAACCGAACTCCTTGAAAGTGTTTAGGAGTAAACAATGAGTCAAACAAAATTTTAGTGGGTCACCAGGGCACTGACTGTGGTTAGCTGCTTAATGAGACCTTTGATACAGTGGGAAGCGGCCACATAGAAGATTAACTTGCCTTCCCTCCCTCCAAGGCAGCTGCACAGACAGTAGCCATTCAGTCTCATGAGCAGAAAGAAGACAGAGCTCACAGTCTGCATCCTTAGAAGGAGTCCTCCTCCTTTGGGGAAAGGGCTGCCTCGCAAAGAGGCACACCTATCTTTTTGTTCCTTGGGGGTTTTTGGTCACTGGATGTGAGTCACCTTGTCTTGAAAAATTCTTTGTCTTCTCAGAACCATATATGGAATATGTAGTTGGCTTCCAAACAAAGCAACCGCTCTATGCACTTTATTAACACTACCTCCAGTTCATTTTCTGGTGCTATAACAGAGTGCCAGAGATTGGAAAGTTTATAAAGAATATAAGTTTATTTGGCTGAGGGTTCTGGGGGGCTGGGAGCATCTGGTGAAGTGTTCGTGTTTTATATGAAGAAAAGCAGAAGAAAAAGGGAATGTCTGGAAAGATGCCCAAGCGATGGCTTATTTTGTCACCACCCGTTCTAGGATAACTCACTCCCACCGGGACAGTAACCCTGCGTGGGGGTGGAACCCTCGTGACCCGAGCACCTGTTGAGGGTCCTGGCACTTCTCAACCCCTGTGCACCGGAGCAAACCTGCAGCCCGAGTTTAAGGGACTCCACTCCGTTCAGACGGACCGACATACATGACTGGCGTGTATGAAAGGGCCGTGGGAACCCACGTCTCCGCCGCCTGTTCACCGGCCCGGGGATGGGGGTGGGGGCAGGTATCCTGTCCACCGTTGGCCTTTCGCAGGCAGTGGGTTTGGTCTGTTTTCTTTTAAAAATTTTTTGTAATGTTCCTGAAATTGAATTTTTCTTATTCAGAGTTGACATTTAGTTACTTTTGAAGGAGTTTTCTTTTTCAGCATTATATATTTAATTGGTAAATATACAGCTGAATAAAATGACTTGCCACAGCATTTTCTTTCTTTCTTTTTTTTTTTTTTTTTTGGTACCGGGGATCAAACTCGGATCCTTCCGCTTGCAAGGCAGGCAGTGGAACCACTGAGCTAAATCCCCAGGCCCATGCCACAGCATTTTCAACCTTTTGATAAGCTTATTTATGTCTGCTTTATATATGTCTGTCAACCCATTTCCAGCTCTTTTGTGCTTTTTGGAAACAGTTCCTCATGTTTACATCTCTTGGCATTGATAGGTCTCCCACCACCTCAGCAGCTATTATGTATAGTAGCTGCCCTCTTCCTATGGTGCCTTGCCTCCTCCCCTGTGTGACATCATGCCAAGATGGTTGCTCCCACCAAAGAACAAACCCTTCTTCCCAGCATGCCCCTGTTCCCGCCTAGAAAGTAACCTAATACTCGCTCACCTCCTACCACCTAGTGACATCACCGGCTCCTCCATTCCTTTAGTCCCTACCTCACTCAACCTCACCTCAGCCCCTACAAACCCCACCCCAGTCTCCATAAGACTCTCCCTGCCCCGGCCATATTGCTTTTGCCTCTCCTTTGTTCAGAGACAGCCCGGCAGATCCGTTCCCTAATAAAGGCTTGTTGTGGCCTGGTCTGGTCTTGGTTTTCGGCCCCTTTACCTGACAGGCATCCTACTACCACCTGCATTTTCTCTAGGACCCATCGTCTCCCATGGATTTTTAAGAGTTCAGAGCCTCTGAGAAACAAAACCCATGACCAAGGAAGGGGGGGTTGGCTAATTAAAGGTATCAGTTGATGATATCTGGCTTTAAGAGGTTTTAATTGGCTTTCAGTGAAAGGAGGTTATGTATGTGTTTTGCTTTCCCTGATGTGTGACTTGAATTCCAAGAACAATCAAGCCAGCTATAGAAGGAAGGCTTGTGCACCCCAGTAACTGACTGTCCTCTCTCTGTACCCCCATCCCTCTCCTCCTCACAGTGGTGCTTCATGCCCCCCCTCCAACCAAGATCAAGCGGGAGCTGCACAGCCCCTCCTCGGAGCTGTCGGCCTGCAGCCACGAGCAGGCTCTCGGTGCTAATTACGGAGAAAAGTGCCTCTACAACTACTGGTGAGTGAGGCCGCGCATTTCCGGTGTGCGCCAGCAGACCCTCAGCAGACCCTCAGCGTAGAGCATCCCCTTCTCTCCTAGCCATGTCACCCTCTCCCTGTAGCCCACTCCTCCTGGGGCCATTGTGCTGCACACAGAAGACAAACTTACTAAAGTGGGGTGGCTCCGTAGGGAGCTGAGTTCATGAAGTACCGAGCCCTCCTCAGGGAAAGAGGCTGGAATACTGGGATATTTGGTCTGTGGCTTTGAGGCAGGTGATAATGTACTTCTTTGTGCCTATCGTATGTTAATGTGAACTTTAAGCACCAAGGATGTAATCTTCAAATCAGAGTATACAAAAAAGCCCCATGCTTATGCCCTTTACTTAAGAATATCCAGGCTCCAGGAATGAAGCTTTAATTTTAAAGTCCTTCTTTGCTGTGGAAGGTAAACACACATCGCCTTCAGGCAGAGGAGCAGAGTTGTTAATGCTAGTGATGTTACATCAGAAGTTTACCTTCCTGGAAAAGTGAAGTAATCCCTGGGAACCCTGGAATACTGAGGAGAGGGGGCCAGAGAGCGCCTGAGGCTCCCTTCTCCCCTCACCCATCCGCCCCTACACTGGCGCAAACACAGAGAATTCTTGTAGAAGGAGGGATAAAGGAAACCGGAAGCAGAGGCTAAAATTATCTTTGAGAAAAATCACTAGAAGTGTTAAACAAGTCCCTGTGACGCAGTGTGTTTGTCACTTTTCAGAGGTACAAATATTCCCTTGGGGCTGTTAGCAGTTTAACTATGTTAATGCTGCCATTTCCTGGCAACAATGGGCTGCAAACTAGTGTTCTGCTGGACCTGGTAACCATGCTGATGGCTTCATTGCAGCTTAATGGTTCCTTCTTTTTTTCTGTTTACAGTGCCTATGATAGGAAGCCTCCCTCTGGGTTCAAGCCATTAACCCCTCCTACCACACCTCTGTCACCCACCCATCAGAATTCCTTGTTTCCCCCACCCCAGGCAACTCTGCCCACCTCAGCGCATGCCCCCGGAGCTGGCCCAGTCCAAGCTGTGGGCCCTGCCCCCACCCCTCATCCGCTTCCAGAACCTGGACCACAGCAACAAACCTTTGCGGTCCCTCGACCACCACATCAGCCCCTGCAGATGCCAAAGATGATGCCCGAAAACCAGTATCCATCAGAACAGAGGTGGGTGCCGCCATGGACTTTCTCAACTGTGTGCCTCGAGCCTCCTGTCCTCACTGGGAGAGGGGAAGCACTTACTCAGGTTTGCCAGGTACCAATAAAGTCACATTCCACAGAGGCATCTTGCGAGGTAAGACTGATAGGGACATGACCTGTCCACGTGCCATGCTGCCCCTCAACAGCTCCGAATGGTTTATAGACAGTACGACATCCTTATGAAGCAGATAAGGGAGAGGTAATTAGTGCCCCCCCTACAGAGCAAGAAGAGGGGGATTTGCCCAGAATTTACAACCTGTTGACCCTCAAAGAAGGGAGCTCCTGGTTCCTCAACTGGATACTGCCTGCCAGAGTTGAACTTTGGTTTATGTTCCCCATGATTATTTTATTACCATTTTATTTACATATTAGGGAAGATTGCTGAGATACAGGAGGCATTATTCCTCTGATTTAACACATTTCAGCTGTTGTTTAGTTAAGGACCTTGGTTATAACGATTTGCTTTTGAGATAGAAATCTCCTGGTTACACTCCAGGTCATTGAATATTCCTGACAAGGGACTCGAAGCATCAGAGGTAGTTTGTCCGGAGCCCTTCATTTACCAAAAAGTAAAGGTACAAAGAGAACCGTGCACTCCGCAAATGTGACCTTTTAACTTCCAGCCTCTGGACTTGGGCAATGGTAGAGTTTTGGATACTTGGGGTCCTTCTTTCTGCAGGAAGCCCTAGGGCTTGGCTTTTTTATTACAAGTCTGCAGCGATGAGGTAACGGTACCTGTCAATGTTGTAATCGAGGGCTACAGGACGGTGACTGTTGCATTTCACTTCTGTCTTGAGTGTACCTTCCCTCTGCCCGGCCCAACCCAACCCAGGTGCTTTCGGTATTTACTGGAGGTCGCTTACCTTGTTTCTAGATGAAATGCAGAAGAATAATACAGTACTTTGGTTCTGATCTCCCTCCCACTTCTCTGACAGCCACCATGAAGAACCGCCTAATACCGGCTGGCTGGATGGTGTTTACTCCCTCCGCTAGGCCGAGGGCCAGGAACACCCAGGCTGAAGGGGCCATAAGGGGCCTGTTGACTCAGGCCCTGGCTCGGGACTGGGGTTCTGTTGCCACTGGGCTCATCAAGAGAACTGAGAGATTTGGGTTTTTATGTGAGAAGTACAGTTTTGATTTTGTTTTTTTTTTAACTGGCAACTAATTCAAATTAAAAACATCAACATTTTGCAGACTAAACAAAACCTCTCTGTGGGCGAATTACCAGAAAGGCCTGCCAGTTGGTGACCTCTGGCCTAGATCCACTTCTATTTTAGTAATTTTATTGGGGGGGAGTTATGTTTTTAAGCTGCATCTTGCCTGTTTTCAGCAGGGGTTATTAATTGGAGAGGGGAGACAACTTGATGTATATATTCAGTATTTGAAAAAATTTGCAGACTTTGTATTTGTTATACCATGGGTAAAGGAAAATTATTACTTCATGTGAAATGTGTTTTCCTGATACTTCCCTCTCAGTCTTTGTTTTTTATCCAGGAGCTTGTATAATAGATTATGTTCATGGTTAACTGAGCTGAGAGGGAAACTTGTCTTAATTCCCTGGAAGTTACTTACCCTCCAGCAGCGCCGGCTGGAGGAGATATACCTTTAGTCTGGAGGAGATAGCCCTTAGTCCCAGATATGGAGTAGGCTTTTCTCCAGGCTACCCAGCCTCCCCTAAAAAGGAGATGGTTTGGATTCCTGAGATTTATGACTGTCTTCCCTCAGGTACCCAAAGGGAGGCAGGCAGGAATCAGAATGTAGGTATATTTTTCCCCCGGCGGTTCCGCCTGTCCACTGCAGAACTACTTCCTCTTACACTTTGCTTGTAGGAAAGAGGGTTAAACAAAAAGACACTGAGGTGATCAGAGAGAACTGGGGTGAAGAGTGAAGTATTCTCTCAGTTCCTGAATCAATACAGTACTGGGGTGCCCAGATCTCTGCAGTAGAGCACTGCAGTCTCAAATCTGGGGGCGCACAGGAAGCCCCGGGAATGGGGAGATGATGGATTGAAATGCAGACCCCTTCTCAGCTCTAACTAGTTGCTGGGACCTGAATGCGTTGTCACACTTCGAGAAATGATTATCTATCAAGCCCTCTCATCTACTCGTGTCCTTAATTCAGCCTACATTTTTTTAACTTAAAAATTTCTCAGTACTCTGAATTAGAATTGTCTTTGTCTATTAATATCTGTCCATGAGATAATTGTGTGATATAAAATACATCAAAAACATGACAGTGTTTTTGCTTGTAGATACTGGATAGCACACAGAAAATAAGACATTAATATCCCTGGTTTGATGTTACAAAAATAGTTACAGTCTTGTATAATAACAAGCTTAATAATCACACACTTAATAAGTTCTCTTCCTGCCCCCCAAAGTGGTACAGATTGCTTTTGCTAGTAATTATAGTTTAGCCTTTGCTCCTAACTTTCTATTAAAATTGGAAGAAATATTACTTCAAAACTTACTCCCTAATACAAATTACAATACTTTGCAGGATAAGGGAAATAATAGGCTTCTTTGAACCTTCTTAACAGCTCCAAGTCCAAAACAGTAAAAAAATATCACTGTATAGATAAGAAATAGGCATTGGAGAGCTGAAGGGCCTCAGCCAAACACAGGTCCTACATTCAGATGTCAAAACATTAACTTAGAGTTCCCATCACTTGTTTTCCTTCTGATTCTTTGTCCTGCTGACCTCCCCTGATGTCCACTAAAAGCTGAGTAAGTGACCTTGATGAACGTTGTAACCTTAAACTTTATCCATCTTGTCAACTACCAGACCTTTATCTGTCTCAAGCTACAAAACCCTACTGAGTTCCCACATCACTGCATCTAAACCCATGGCAACATCATTTTGGTTTTGCTCACAGTATGCCTTATCTATTTAGTTGAATAGAGTAAGCTTTTTGCAGATAAAAGTTATGATTTAGAACCCATCCTTAGACTGCAGTCACCGCCATCTTCAATATTTATATTGATAGTGATTTGGTAGGATCATGCTTTAAAATATATATAATCTAGTCAAAAGTACATTCTTACACAACACTTGGAAGCCGCCAGTGATTTCCTCCCTGTGAGGAGGGGTAAGGATGTAAACCTGGCGTGTTCAGACATGCTCCCCTTTATCCTGAAAGACTGAGCAGCTGCTCCTCAGGGGAGCTGGGCTTTTCCTTCAGCCAGCCTAGTCTCACCAGGTTTGCCATCAGGCTGTCTGTGACGGTCACATGTGCCGAGCAGAGGAACATCAAAGATGTTTCTATGTGATACCCCTCATGCTATCTTGAACTGAGGAAAGCCTCTTGGAATTCAGCTGAAGAACCTTCACTAAGGAAATGTGTCATCTGAGAATTTTGGAACACGCTCCCCTGTCCCACACTTAACATCAAGAAATAAAAACCCAAAGAAACAAAAAGCATTGGCTGTGGTGGGCGGGAAAATCCTCTGCTTCTGGATGGTACCTTAGAGTATCCAGTGGGCCAAATTGTCAGAATACATACAGTCCACAAGTTATCGACAGGTTGGTTATGTTCAGAAGCTCCTTGAAGAAAGCACCTATCCTATGGGCAAAAATTCTCTCCCTTGGTGGTTAGACTCAAAAGACTAAAGTGTGACAGCATGAGCTAACTTTGCTGGAATTTTGATTTAACAGAAACTACTCATTGCTTAAAGATGCTAAATTAAGACATGTAATAGCCTTAGGTTTTCCCCCTTGTTTCTGCTTCCTCTGAAAGCCTATCCTGAATAAATTGCTGTTTGCCTTTGCCTTTCAGATTTTGTAGTTTTTAGAAAGGAAAGAACTCAACAGTGAGTCACACGTGTAGCATGGCCTGGAATCAAATAAACATGTCTGACACATCTCCTTTGCATTAATAGCATGCTTGGTATGGCAGCACAGATATTCTTCAGGACACAAAAATCCAAAATTGGTGCTTAATTGGGCCTTCTTTGACAGAAGGAATAATGGGCTTCTAATAGTTGTAACTCAAGGTGGTTTTGTGTTCAGGGATTTTTTTATATTGTTGTTCTAAATCTTTGGAGGGCTACTTTTCAACATTGTACCATGTTTACTGTAGTCTTATTAAGTTTTATCAAGCTAAAAGATTTTTACTTCTAGCCCTAGTTTACTAAAAGTTCTTTACAAGAAGCAGTATTGACATTTATCAGCCATTGAGATGAACTAGTGTTGTGGGTTTTCTTTTCCTTTAATAATGAGAGTTTTGGGCCAGGATTTAGCTCAGTGGTTTTTCCGCTTGCCTCATAAGCGCAAGGACCCGAGTTCAATCCCTGGTACCAAAAAAAAAAAAATTCAAGTTTCACTGATGTATACAAAACCAACCTTGCATTCTTGTGATAAACCCAACTTGTTTGTTAGGTATTATGTTTTGTGCGTTGCTGAAGTTGATTACATATGTCGGACTTCTGTACCTGTATTTATGATTAAGTGTAAGGTATCATTCATCTCTGTCCTCTAGATTTTATCATTGAGGTTATTATGCTCATCAAATAAGCAGAGAATGTCCTTTTCCAATTTTGAAGTATTTTATGTGAAATTGGAATTCTTTACTCTTTGAATCTTTTTTTTTAAAGAACTTACCAGTAAAACTATTTGGGCTGACTTACTGCTTGTGGGAAGATTTATACTTTATTAGGTCAGTGTCTTTACCTTGTACAGTCTACTTGGTTGACTACATTTAAAAATACGATGACTCTGGCCGGGGATTTACCTCAGTGGTTCCGCTGCTTGCCTTGCAAGCACAAGGACCCGAGTCGATCCCTGGTACACACACACGAAAATACAGTGACTTTTCTAGGAATTTTTCTCATTTTGTGTGAATTTTTAAATTAATTGGCAGAAAGTTGTTTGTGATCTCCTTAAATTCTCTGTAGTATCAGTAGTTGTTTCTTTTTCATTTTTTATACTTATTTAGGTCTTTTTCGGCCTTGCAAAACACAATTGTCTTT